CAAGGCCGCAAGTGTCCTCGTGAATTTCCGCACGCTCTGAAAAATTACCTTTATTGAAAAGAAAGGCTATAGCGTTGTCCTATAAATTTACTCCCTATTAAGGTTAATGGAAAGCACCACAGGTGTTCCGGACAATTAAATCAACTCATTAGGTAGGAGCAGCTTTTGAACTTACTTTCTCTTCGTATATGTTATCCTTAATTGGCAAGGTTTGTCAATTGTAGATCTCAATTATTTCTAAGACGTTTATACAGCATAATAAAAGCGGTGTCCCTAATTTCCTTCCTTTTAAAATGTTCTCTATTAATTTGTATTCCAATATGATGTACTCAGAGGTTTTGATTGACCAATCAAATATCTTTATCCTTGTAAGCTTGGTTTTGACCAATCAAACTAGCTGTTGTAATTCATTCAGGTTTTGTGTAAACCAATCAGATCAGTTCATTTTCCAAGCTTTGTTGTTCTAAAATTAGTCTCCTGACAGTGTAAAATGAAAGTACTCCCAAGATGTCTTGATTATTAAGATAATTGTTCAGGGTTTTAATGTAACAGTCAGGTGTTCCGTGCTACCTGTTAATTATCTATGTATTATTAAGATAATGAAGGCAAATTTTTCCCTGTGTTTATTTATAAAGCCATATTCAGAATGTTTGATTTCTTCAAATTCCTGTAAACTATAGTAGTTTCAAGCTGTTTTCAATTAAAGTTTTTATGAGGAATAAAAATCTATGAAAAAAAAGTTAATTTTCTTTAAATGGTTTTGCATTTTACATGCTTTTTTAATCTTATAAAAGTATACTCTCTTGACTGTTTGCATTCATCATGCAAGCTTTTGAAAAATGATTAAAAAGTTCAAGTAACTGTTAATCAAGACATCTTTGTATTTAAAGCATCAAAAGTATCTGATAAAGCCAACTTAAGTTTGAACGCTTTAATCATGCTCCACTTTTATATAGTCTGTTGTATATTTGTGAGGTCTTGAAGTTTGGTATTTGTTTTGGCTTTTTGCTTTAGAACAACTTGCTTCATCCATTCAAAGGACATATTTCATGTTGGAACAAAAAAATTATAAGTCTTTTGCAAATGGTGCTAGCCTTCCTTATAAGCATTTTGTACCAGTGCTAGGGTCTTAAGCGAAATTTGCAAGTGTTGCAAGTCAGTTCCCTTAGTGTTGTGGGGCTTTCTGAAAGATTTTAACTTGTACACAGATCTTTAATATTTTAATATTTTTCTCTTTTTTTCATGTCTGCATTTCTACAAGTGCCTTAAGTCTTTCTAAAGCATGCACACTATTACTAAAGTCATCCTTAAGCATTTTGTCCATTGCTCAGGTCTGAGAGTTCCTTAAGCATTTTTGCAAGTGCTTCATGACTGCATTGCTACCAGAACTCTGGTTTCCCTAAAGCTTTTTTGCCATTGCTCTGGTTTTCCTAAAGCATTTTTGCAAGTACTCAAGTCTTCTTTCAGTGTGGTTAAGTTTGAATATTAATTTAATTGATGAATGTATCCTGAAATCTACACAGATACTTTAAATTGTGTACCAGTGATATCTGTATAAACATGAGGAAAGTAACAGGTGTAGAATTTGGGACAATTTCTGGCTAATTGTCATGATTTTTGTCAAGTTAATGAAGTAGGCAAAGAAGACACTTGTGGTATAATGGCCACAAATCAGGATTTGGTTTTTCCTTTGAGTAAAAGTGTATTGATTATTCAGCAATCTTAACTCGTATAAATGATGTGTAAATTTGGCGATAATATATCCCAATGACAGCCAAAGGATTAGGCGAGTGTCTCGAAATGTCCGCGAATCACACGCGTCTGACATTCGGCCACATTAAGTACGTCTCCCCAGGAAACCAAGGGACGTGAAGGTTTTAGGAAGGATTAGTTGAAGTTAGATTGACTATTTCGTATTATTGAGTGCTTATTGATTGAATATCCATCCCTTTAGAACAAATGAGTTTTTATCTTTTTTTCCCCAATTTTTGTTTTTATTTCTTTTAATTAAGACGTTAGAAACCATAAGGAGTTCATTGAGCATGTAACATTTTTTGCAGGATGATTGTCATTCAGGTTTATTTTGATTAATCTGTTAAGTTTGGTTTAAAAATCAAAAGTGTCAATGGATTGTGATCGTGAAATGAAGAGAAAATAATTTCAAAGATTTTTAATGTTAAGAGAAGCCACCCTTGGCAAAAATTTCCCTGACTTTCTAGTTCTAGAATTTTTAATTACAAAATGTTCTTCATGCTGAATGTAAAATTAGTGCTGTCGACTATATCTCTCAAATTAAGAATCATGCAAATTAGTTTTGCACATAGAAATAGCTTCGGAATTTCAAATGAGGTATCAGCTTGCATGAGTCATCAAATTAGATCGGTATTGGGGGTGTTTTGTTTAGTCTGGTTTTATAACCTACAGTAATAAGAAAGTTATAGTTACATTATAATTACATAAAACTGGTTGGTGCCTGACTGGACTATGGTTGGCAGAGAGAGAAAATTGATGAACACATGGGGTTCATGTATAGATACAGTCTGGAAATTGTTTTTAGAACTAGTATCTGAAGTAGTATGAACTTCATAACATCTGTCACACTGCCCACTGGCATAATCTCTATCAAATTTCATGACCAGACAAATAGCCTTTATTCACAACATAATTATACCATTTGAATTTTTAAGTAGATTTTATTGTTGTCAAAAGCAATCAATAAATGTAATAAATGATTCAGAGAAAGGTGGCTAATGATTGATTTAAATATGCTACTGCCAAATTAGGTGTTTTAATAAACCAGTGCCAAATTAGGTGTTTTAATATACCACTGTCAAATTAGGTGTTTTAATATACCACATGTTTTAATATATCACTGGCAAATAAGGTGTTTTGATATACCACATGTTTTAATATATCACTGGCAAATAAGGTGTTTTGATATACCACATGTTTTAATATACCACTGCCAAATAAGGTGTTTTGATATACCACATGTTTTAATATATCACTGGCAAATAAGGTGTTTTGATATACCACATGTTTTAATATACCACTGCCAAATAAGGTGTTTTGATATACCACATGTTTTAATATATCACTGGCAAATAAGGTGTTTTGATATACCACATGTTTTAATATATCACTGGCAAATAAGGTGTTTTGATATACCACATGTTTTAATATATCACTGGCAAATAAGGTGTTTTGATATACCACATGTTTTAATATATCACTGGCAAATAAGGTGTTTTAATTTCCCACTGCCAAATTAAGTTTTTTTATATACCACTGCCAAATGAGGTGTTTTAATTTACCAGTGCGAAATTAGGTGTTTTAATATACCACTGCCATATAAGGTGTTTAAATATACCACTGCCATATAAGGTGTTTAAATATACCACTGCCATATTAGGTGTTTTAATTTACCACTGCCAAATTAGGTGTTTTAATATACCACTGCAATATTAGGTGTTTAAATATAAAACTGCCATATAAGGTGTTTTAATATACCACTGCCATATTAGGTGTTTTAATATACCACCGCCAAATTAGGTGTTTGAGCATACCACTGCCATATTAGGTGTTTTAATGTACCACTGTAAAATTAGGTGTTTTAATATACCACTGCCAATTGAGGTGTTTTAATATACCATTGCAATATAAGGTGTTTAAATATACCACTGCCATATAAGGTGTTTTAATATACCACTGCCATATTAGGTGTTTAAATATATCACTGCCATATAAGGTGTTTTAATATACCACTGCCAAATAAGGTGTTTTAATATTAAACTGCCAAATGAGGTACTTTAATATAAAACTGCCAAATGAGGTGTTTTAATATGCCACTGCCAAATTAGGTGTTTTAATGTACCACTGCCAAATTAGGTGTTTTAAAATAAAACTGCCAAATGAGGTGTTTAATATACTCCTGCCAAATTAGGTGTTTTAATATACCAGTGCCAAATTAGGTGTTTTAATATACCACTGCCAAATTAGGTGTTTTAATATACCACTGCCAAATAAGGTGTTTTAATATACCACTGCCAAATTAGGTGTTTTAATATACCACTGCCAAATTAGGTGTTTTAATATACCAGTGCCAAATTAGGTGTTTTAATATACCAGTGCCATATTAGGTGTTTTAATATACCAGTGCCAAATTAGGTGTTTTAATATACCACTGCCAAATTAGGTGTTTTAATATACCACTGCTAAATTAGGTGTTTTAATATACCACTGCTAAATTAGGTGTTTTAATATACCACTGCTAAATTTGGTGTCTTAATATACCAGTGCCATATTAGGTGTTTTAATGTACCACTACCATATTAAGTTTGAAGCAAAAAGGGTTTTTCTTGTTGGCATTTACTGGTTGTTTATTGGTCTGTTGCAGTTTTCTTACAAGTTTCTTGCTTTGAAAACTACACAAGGAAATGACTTGAAACTGGATTGAATAAACTGAGATATTTGTCAGCTGGGAGAAGTTCAATGGTCAACTCTACAAATTAAATATACACATATTTGTATCATTTTTTCTGCCAACTTTTGTCAAAACTTTTCCTAGATGTTACTGCATACTTCAGGACTAAAGTCTACTTTACCACAAATAAACTTTAATCTATGCTGAATGGCTACTCCTTTAAAAGTTGTCCCAATATTTGCTATTACTGAAAGTGATCACCTTTTGTCACCAGCATAGAGCCAACCAGGGCTCAATTGAAATCATGGATTGTTCTTAATTTAAAACAGTGCAAATCCATTTGTACTATTTCAAAAGGTAAATGTGTGTTAAAATTATGACTGTGCTGGTAAAGATGTTAAGGAAATAATTGGTAAATAAGAAGACCTTAGTAAAATTGCTTCTAAAATTTAAGGGCAAAAGCCATGTTCTATAATTAGTGATAAGGGTATTCACCTCCAGTGATAGTTATCTTGTCAAGATTTATTTATTGAACATAAGCCATTAAGTCATCATCCGTTTTCTTATGTATTTTCAGACTCAGGTAGAGGTGAAGGGAAATGATGATCGCTACTTTGTACTGACGTTTGTGCTGTGCGGTTGTATTGCCGGTATCTTGCTGGCTGTTGTGGTAATCTATCTGATCCGGCGCAACTCTCGGTCCAAAGAGAAACTTCAACAGATCACGGCAGGACAAGAAGGAAATGAGGCTGCTTCCAAAGATTACCAGGTTAGTGTTCAGTTCCGATGTAATTAAGTTTTTTGTCGTGAAACAGTGTTAAAATATAAATAAGCCTTATGATTATTAACTTGTTAAATCAGCTACAGTTTCGCAAAAGATTGAAGTATATATATATATATATAAAACATTATATAAATAACACATATATACATACATGATTATAATATGTGACTAAAATAGTATGTTAAAATGGAATATAAGCAAACATTTTGTCGCACAGATGTCTGTGTTGCCTTACTGTTTTTTAAGTGGGGTCATTCCTTAATAACTTAAAATGCTGAAATTTTCAGCTCTCATGATATACTAGGCAATGTATATAAAATAAATATTTATTAACAAGGATTTTAACTTTTAAGAGCAAATTCTTTATAAAAGTAAACATTTTGAAATTAATGATGAATAAATTTTCAGGATTTTCAGATTTTTTTTGTGTTTATCAATCATTGTAAATCTACTTTAATTAGATTTTCACATCTCTATAAAGTTATTATATCACTGTAAAATAAACTTATTAAGTTAAAATCTTGGGGAATACAATTAAGTAATGATATTGTATTTGAATAATTAGTCGTCCCATATCTCAGGAAGACCTAAAAGTTGTCCTGCAAGAAAATTAGAAAGGTTTAGTAAATGCGTTTCAGTCTGTCTTTCTGACAAGACAACACTTCTAAGGTTTCTTGTGGAAGCCTACAAATGTTAGTATTTCAAGCATCTTTGAATGATTTTTTTTTTTACCAGAAGAGCGATTTTCTATAACAGGCTGTATATTGAGTTTTCTGGAGGGGGGGAAAATTGTAAGTTTGTGCTGGTGCTGTTGACTTGTTATGCTTAATCCTGATCCTTCTGGGACGGAAAGTGAATACCCTTTGCTATAAGTATAAAGCCAAGCCAGCCAGTGCATTCTAGCCATCTGACCAGGTTCTATAGTGTTGGTAGTTTAATTTTCTTATCTTTTATTGAAATCCCTAACTTTGAATGGACTGCTCCAAATCCAAAGCAAGGCAGATTCATTTATAAAGGTTAATGGTCAATCTTTGTTAAGAGTATAGGAGTCATACAGGTGATTTTTGAAGAGTTCGTAGAACACTTTGGAGTCAATATTAGTGAAAACCAATTAGCTACCTGTCCCTTTAAAAATGGAAATAAAAGGAAATGAAAATATGATAAACCTGCTTTGTTGTTATATTCTAAATGGTTGTAGATTTGCTGATTATTTTATAAACAGTGAATATATCATGTTTGTTATACCAAATTACCTGAAGTTAAAGAATTCCAACTAACCAGGTGGCACAATGTATGGAGACATCATAAAGTCTTCTTAAAAAATAGCAGAGGATTATTTTGTTAAGAGATATTTTATTCTGTTTTCTTATACAATGAATGTATGTCAAATAACATACATATATATGAAAACAATGTGAATTTAGAGTTTTTAAGATATTGATTTTACATTATGCAAATTATGGCTTTTTCACCATTGGAGGTGGCGGCAAACATTTCCAATCATTGTACATATAAGAAAAAGATTGGTTGCCTCTGGTTTTGACATGTGCTTTAGTGAATAGTTCCCAATAGAAATCACAGATACTGATGACTTCCTCAAAGTTCAACTTCTCGGCTCTTTACCTCCCCAGTGACTTGTATATAATAAATGCCCTATCCAGAACAGGCGCTGAAATTAAGTGAAACCATTCCGATGGTATTTGCTACTGTTCAATTTGTACGTTTTATAAATTAATAAAATGAAAAGTGACCTGTCAAGGAAAGTTGTGATAATACTATGAATATATGTTGATGTTATAACTGTTTGTGAAAATTGAAAGAGAACCATAGTGAAATGCAATATATTTTAATATGAAATTTATTATGCATGACATATTTTATACTGCATATTTTTTATCTGTTCATAATACTAAAATCTAAGAAACAATCAAGGAAAGTATCAGTTTCTTCATTGTTTACAAATATTACTGTCTTTGTTTAGAAAATATGTATATAAAAAAACAGCCCTTAAAAAAATTGTTTCATTGAATTTGTACCATTTTTAGCTTGGCTGAAAAAGACTGTAATTTTTTTGTTTCTCATCCATGCCTTGGCTTTCTGTCAGCATTACCTAAACTCTTGGCTATGATTTTCCTTTAGAGAGCAACTTCATTTCTTGTTAAGTATTCAAGTTAATCAGTTAAAATGTTACACATTTCTTCCAAGACATAATTAGATTTTCTTTAAAGTGCTTCCCCTAAGTATTAACTTAGAAAATTGCAGGTTTAAGTTTTGCATGTATGTTCTATAATCTTTATTTCCTGCTCAACTCTAAAAACATTCAAATGATATGATTCAGTTCTCTGTCAAGCCCAGGGCTCAGCAAGTTCTAAAACCCAAGGATCAGCAAGTCCTAAAAACCAGGGCTCAGCAAGTTCTAAAACATCATCAAGTTCAAAAACCCGGGGCTCATCAAGTTATAATACCGAGGGATTATCAAGTTCTAAAACCCAGGGATCATCAAGTTCTAAAACAAAGGGCTCAGCAAGTTCTAAAACCCAGGGATCATCAAGTTCTAAAACCCAGGGGTCAGCAAGTTTTAAATCTCCAGTATCAGCATGTTTTTAAGTTGCAAGACTCTGCAATATTAACCACCTGAGCTTTGCAATGTTTTTAAACACAGGGCTTAACAAGTTCTATAAACCAGTGCTAGACAAGTTATAAAACTTAGCAAGTCCACAGATCCAGGGCATGGCCACTTCCAAAACCAAAGACTTGTCATATTTTACATTGATCAAGGCCTTCAATGTTTTCAATATACGAGGGTTGTCCAAAAAGTTCGTGCACTGCAGTTATTGTCGTGAGAGTTATTAATAAAAAAACATGAATTATATATCATTTGAAGGGGAAATCTATCTCAAATAAGAAAACATTAGAAAAAGCCGTGTAACCGGCGTGTTGTGAAAAAGAATAGTCATTAAGTTACCTTAGTAACGTAATACCGGCGCACGACAAAAAATGGGTAAGTTAATTTCTATGGCAATATTCATTATTTTGTCGCTTGTAAAGTGGCATTTGCTTTTTTATGTCATAATTTGTTTTACTGTCAATAGTGGAATGATTAATGCAAATCATTTTTAGTCGTTTTTTATCTTTTGTAACGTACATGTAACATATTCCACCAGTGCATAAGTATATTGGACAACCCTCGTCACATGCGCCGGCATTACGGACGAACGTTTGCCTGACCGGTTGTCATCATCTACCTCCTCTCGTCCCTCTACAGAGCATTTGTGTCATTCAAAAACCAGCCTTCGTTACAATGAACTTGTCACCCTTGCCCTTTTAAATTCTTTGTAGGTATCTGTCGGTGTTTTCCAATACTTGCCCAAAATTTAATGATCGTCCGTATTTCCAGACGTTTAGCGACTAAAATTTTCACGTTATTACAGTATTGACGACCACACAGAAATGTTTGTTACAGCCGTTATAATTGGGCAAATTACGTCATTTTTTCTATTGACGTCAGGAATACATACGTATACACACTTTTTCCTGAATTTTGACATTAATATGTAGTGTTTAAAGAAAACTTTTATGCATCAAAGTCATGAACTAACCCAATTTTTTGTCGTGCGCCGCTATTACGTTACCAAGGTAACTGTATGGCGATTTGTTTTCATGACATTACAGTTACACGGCTTTTTCTTTTGTTTTCTTATCTGAGACAGATTTCCCCTTCAGGTGATATATAATTCATGTTTTTCTATCAATAACTCTCACGACAATAACTGCAGTGCACGAATTATTTGGACAACCCTCGTACATGTAAAATAATTTTTTTTATATATTTGAGCCATGTCACGACAAAACCAATATAGTGCGTTTATGACCAGCATGGATCCAGACCAGCCTGCGCATCCGTGCAGTCTGATCAGGATCCATGCTGTTCGCTATCAGTTTCTCTACTTGTTAAAAGGTTTAAAAGCCAACAGCATGGATCCTGATCAGACTGTGCGGATGCGCAGGCTGGTCTGGATCCATGTAGCTAGCAAACGCATTACGTTGATTTTGTTTTGACACGGCACATATTTAACTTAACACAGGACCTGTGCCGACAGAGGATGCAGAGCAAATCATCAGAGAAGCCGGAACCTCTGCACACCGCAGCAGTATCTAGAGTGGGCAGCGTGTCAGAGACTCAAGTTCGAAGCCCATCCAGCCGTAGCAGCACCTCTTCATGGTAAATGTTCTCTAAATGTTTTCTGTGGTATCCTAGCTAGTAGAAGCAAGTGTGTATTCCTATATTATATATATAGTAAATGTAACCACTTTCATATCGTAGAATTTAGCCTGAAGTTTTCTTGATCTGCTTTTATGGTTAAATGTATTTTTTCTCATATTTAATTCTATCGCTGGGTTTATTTTTTCAATATGTGTAAAGAACTTTAGCATATGAGTCAAATTAAAAATTAATTAACTAAAAATGCCTAAATATTTTAACAGTCCCTTGAAATATATTCTCCAAATGTATCATCTTTTAAAACACCTTAGTGACTGTTACTTTAAGAACAAATATATGACCATATGGAATTTGAAAAAGCCTCATGCTTAAGAAGTAATACCTTTGAAAAAATGTAGTTCTTCTTGAATTTTCAAAAAAATATAACATTTTTCAAATGTATTGCTTCTTATAAGGAAACTTAAAGCAAAAATGGGACATGTACCCCATCTTATAAAAGGGTCTAAGCAAGAAAAGCAGACTTAGAATTCAGGTAAAAGTGGGGCAACTGTCTTATGGCAAAAGTAGGACATCTGTCTTTTAAGAGGGTCAAAGCAATGACTGCAAATTTGGGGCAAAAGTGGGACCACCATCTTGAAGGAGGTCAAAGCAAAAACTGTAGACTTAAGGCAAAAGTAGGACCACCTTTCTTGTAAGAGGATCAAAGCAAAAACTGAAAAACCTAAGGCAGAAATGGTACTACTGTCTTATGAAAGGATTAAAGCAAAATCTGCAGACATAAGGCAATTGTGGGACCACTGTCTTGTAAGAGAGTGAAAAGGGGCAGTTGAGTTAATACATTATTGGAAAAAGGAAACCCTTAAACAAAGCTCTGGTTTTGAAGGATGATGAGAATATTTGTAATTCTAAGGCTTGGTTACTGACTAAGTTTCTACTGTACAGCTAGAACTTAGGTCATGCAATTTTAGTAAAAAATGATTTACCTGTAAATAGCAACTCAATCATTGACTACTGGAGTAATATGCTTGTATATTGAAGGCAAAAGGTCTAATGTAACAAAAAAAAAAAGTTTGATATATAAGAAATTGAAATAACCATTCAAGGATCACTAAATGTAACAAGTAGTGTTAAAGAAGTTGTGTAATATTTGATAAAGGAATTCATGTAGCACCAAATGGATCAAAGGGCTCCTCTATTTCAGTTTTCTTTGACACCTTGTGTAAGAACTGATGGCAAGAGAAATTAATTTCTTTGATGTGTAGGCAACAACTTCTAGATGCTTAAATCTGGTAACAATGTAATTCAGTGCCACTGATTTATCCATATTAATTATTATTTTCATAACTTAAGATCAGCTTACCAATATCAATATTGTGTCTTTGTATACCTTATAAAAGGGCAAAACTTGTTTTGGTAACTGCTGAGGGTATTTTTTTGTGAAATATTGAAGTTAATAACAAAATATTATACAAAACTGTCATTTAAACTCAAGATGGAATATGATATTTGTCAGAAATTTCATAAGTACTTGTTGTTAATTTCTCATGAAATAAGTTAAATTTAGAGTTTCCAGTTATGTAAGCTTTATTAAAACTGTCAGTATTTTCTCAGTAATTAACTCGTAACATGCTAAATATAGTAAATGTACTTGTCTATCTTTCAATCTGGACAAAACAATTCGAAGATTGTAAAATTAAGTACTGACTGAATAGCATACAGTGTAGACCATGATCCGATGGCATGGATGTGCTGGCAGATCTAGGTCTGCACTGGTGGTGTAGGTAGTGGTGTAGGTAGTGGTGTAGGTAGTGGTGAAGGTAACATCTGTTGTGGCCAGCAAGCTAATGATATAAGGATAATATGTATGTATTTTATATAAGTGGGAGATAGTAAATTGAAATTAATATTTTATATAAGTGGGAGATAGTAAATTGAAATTTATATAATATATGATATGAAAAATATCATGTTGATAATACTTTTAACTTATGTCAACACTTTGAAGGCTAGTGGCTTTAACTATTTTTTTGTATGACACCAGTCTATAAGGCCAGGCCAGCCTGCATATTTATGCGGTCTAACCAGTCTATAAGGCCAGGCCAGCCTGTATATTTATGAGGTCTAACCAGTCTATAAGGCCAGGCCAGCCTGTATATTTATGAGGTCTTCCCAGTCTATAAGGCCAGGCCAGTCTACATATTTATGAGGTCTAACCAGTATATAAGGCCAGGCCAGCCTGCATATTTATGAGGTCTAACCAGTCTATAAGGCCAGGCCAGCCTGTACATATTTATGGGTCTAACCAGTCTATAAGGCCAGGCCAAGCCTGCATATTTTATGAGGTCTTCCCAGTCTATAAGGCCAGGCCAGCCTGCATATTTATGAGGTCTAACCAGACTATAAGGCCAGGCCAGCCTGTATATTTATGAGGTCTAAACAGTCAAAAAGGCCAGGCCAGCCTGTATATTTATGAGGTCTAACCAGTCTATAAGGCCAGGCCAGCCTGCATATTTATGAGGTCTAACCAGTCTATAAGGCCAGGCCAGCCTGCATATTTATGACGTCTAACCAGTCTATAAGGCCAGGCCAGCCTGCATATTTATGAAGTCTAACCAGTCTATAAGGCCAGGCCAGCCTGCATATTTATGACATCTAACCACACACAAACAATAGATGTTATCAGGAACTCACCAAATGTGGGTTTTTCTCACATAATCCATATACTGTTATAGCTTCAGGGTGCACTACCTGTCAAAATAGATAAGTTATCCTGTTGGGCTTATTTTTAAAGCTGTAACAGTAAATAGAGGATATTCAAGTTTTTTCTATAAATACATGATTTATTTTCATCGAGTGGTATGAAAATAAATATTTCATGAGTGGCAGTAGCCACGAGTGAAATATGGTAATTTTCATGCCACAAGATGAAAATAAATCATGTATTTTTAGAAAAAACTTGAATTTTCTGTTTATTATATACATTTTTCTCTTTCTGGACATTAAAATTTGAAAGACTTTCCCTTAAATTTTGAGAACTGGCAGAATTTAAAAGAAAGTAGTCCGTCAAGACACCAGTGAAAATACGGAAAATATGTTTCACTCCAGTGAAAATACGGAAAATGAAAATACGCATTTTATTTCATCAATATTTCTCAATATTTCATTTAAAAGTATATAATAAAAGTTTGTCTGTACCTACAGATTAGCAGTTAACAACTTAATTTTCCCAACTTTATTTTGATGTATTTTACTACAGGCATTAAACTAATTGAAATTGGCTGATGCAATGGTTGACAAAAATTAACTTGGCAAAAGACAAATTCAATTGATTGGTAAATATGGTCTCCAGTAGTTAATGGGAGTTCATCCTGAAATATTCTGACAAATTCATATTTGAGATTTCTTCCAGGCCATGTGATAAATGATGTAATATCTGAGACCAAGTTTATAAATTTGCTGAAATCTCTTGACTATTTCTCAGTTTAATATGGCATTTTGTCATTTATGTAAATTTTTGTCCCAACTTCAAAAGTGCCCTATAAATCAAAAGAGAATTGTAAGTTTGATTTATTTATGATAAGAAATGTTGTCGTTTTCCTAAATAAATTGAAATTTTGCCCTTTTTTCAGGTTTTTTATACCCCCGCACAACAAAGTTGTAAGGGGGGTATACTGGAATCAGCTTGTCCGTCCGTCCGGCTGTCCGTCCGTCCGGCCGTCCGTCCGTCCGGCCGTCGGTTTTTTCTTGTCCGCCCAAAAACTTAAGATTCCTTTGACCCTTAGTCTTCATATTTGGCATGGAGGTTAGTCATGATTAGTAGATGACCCCTATTGATTTTGAGGTCACTAGGTCAAAGTTCAAGGTCACAGGGGCCTTGACTTCAAAAAGCTTGTCCGCCCAATAACTTAAGATTCCTTTGACCCTTAGTCTTCATATTTGGCATGGAGGTTAGTCATGATTAGTAGATGACCCCTATTGATTTTTAGGTCAAAGGTCAAGGTCACAGGGGCCTTGACTTCAAAAAGCTTGTCCGCCCAATAACTTAAGATTCCTTTGACCCTTAGTCTTCATATTTGGCATGGAGGTAAGTCATGTTTAGTAGATGACCCCTATTGATTTTGAGGTCACTAGGTCAAAGGTCAAGGTCACAGGGGCCTTGACTTCAAAAAGCTTGTCCGCCCAATAACTTAAGATTCCTTTGACCCACAGTCTTCATATTTGGCATGGAGGTTAGTCATGATTAGTAGATGACCCCTATTGATTTTGAGGTCACTAGGTCAAAGGTCAAGGTCACAGGGGCCTTGACTTCAAAAAGCTTGTCCGCCCAATAACTTAAGATTCCTTTGACCCTTAGTCTTCATATTTTGCATGGAGGTTAGTCATGATAAGTAGATGACCCCTATTGATTTTGAGGTCACCAGGTCAAAGGTCAAGGTCACAGGGGCCTTGACTTCAAAAAGCTTGTCCGCCCAATAACTTAAGATTCCTTTGACCTACAGTCGTCATATTTGGCATGGAGGTTAGTCATGATAAGTAGATGACCCCTATTGATTTTGAGGTCACCAGGTCAAAGGTCAAGGTCACAGGGACTTTGACTTCAAAAAAACTTTGTCTGCCCAATAACTTTAGATTCCTTTGACCCACAGTCTTCATATTTGACATGGATGTTGATCATGATTAGTAGATGACCCCTTTTGATTTTGAGGTCACTGGATCAAAGGTCAAGGTCATAGGGACTTTGACTTCAAAAAGTTTGTCCACCCATTAACTTAAGATTCCTTTGACCCACAGTCTTCATATTTGGTATGGATGTTGATCATGACTATAAGGTGACCCCTATTGATTTTGAAGTCACTGGGTCAAAGGTCAAGGTCACAGGGACCTTGACAAAAAAAAGCTTTTCTTCTCAATTGCTAAAGAATGTCCTGTCCGCAATGTATTGATTTTGACATTTTCACATTTGAAGCATGTAGAATACATAACTTAGCAATGCACTGGCTTAGTAACCTCAGATTTGGCAGGGAGGTTGTCCTTGAGCTCTAAATGGCCACTGTTGATTCTGACAAAGTGGTATGCGGGGGTATTCACGCCATGATAGTGGCAGTTCTAGTTGTTTTTGTTTTTTTTCGCTGTTCATGGCAATTGGCATTTATATATTTTGACACATCTGTTTCAGTTCTGCTTTAGGTGGTTTTCCTTCATGAAAGGGTTTAATCAAACTAAGCTTAATTTCAATTTTGACAATGGGACCACAATATTATGGAAATACATACATGTCTATTAAAGCAACATCCCTCCATATGCAACAATTTCCAACCCCTATTAAAGCAACACCCCTCTAGATGCGTAGTTATCCAACCTCTAGCTTTTTGCCCACAAATTTATGATCTAACGAAATTTATTTAGTCTGCTGTTGATTATTTATTTTACATTATTTGTATTTTATTTCTTTACATAAATAGACAATCCACTAATTTCAGAACCCATGAACATGTCCTTAATGACAAAACCACAAATTCCATGCCCACAAAATTAGGTGAATTCACATTCTGATAAAAATAAGAATGAGTACCTCTTCTATTCCTAGTATTGTCTCTTTTATAGTTATTTATATATAGATATTAAGCTTGCATTTTTAGCTCACCTGTCACAAAGTGACAGGGTGAGCTTTTGTGATCGCTTTTTGTCCGGCCGTCCGTAAACTTTTACTTTAAATGACATCTCCTCATAAACCACTTAGCCAATTTCATCCAAACTTCACAGGAATGTTCCTTTGGTGGTCACCTTTAAAAATTGTTCAAAGAATTTAATTCCATGCAGAACTCTGGTTGCCATGGCAACCTAAAGAAAAAACTTTAAATATCTTCTTTTAAAAGAGCTAGAGCTTAGATATTTGGCATGAAACATCTTCTAGTGAGTGTCTACAAAGTTTGTTCAAATAAAAGCCCTGGGTTCAAAATTGGTCCCGCCCCAGGGGGTCATTGATTTTCCCTATATGCATATATTTAAAACTTAAAAAATCTTCTTTTAAAGAACCAAAAGAGCTAGAGCTAAGATATTTAGCATGAAACATCTTCTAATGAGTGTCTACCAAGTTTGTTCAAATAAAAGCCCTGGGGTCAAAATTGGCCCCGCCCCAGGGGGTCATTGATTTTCCCTATATGCATATAGTAAAAACTTAAAAATCTTCTTTTAAAGAACTCAAAGAGCTAGAGCTAAGATATTTAGCATGAAACATGTTCTAATGGGTGTCAACCAAGTTTGTTCAAATAAAAGCCCTGGGGTCAAAATTGGCCCCAACCCGGGGGTCATTGATTTTCCTTATATATGTGTATAGCAAAAACTTAAAAAATCTTCTTTGAAAAAACCTAAATAGCTAGAGTTAAGATATTAAGCATGAAACATCTTCTAGTGAGTGTCTACAAAGTTTGTTCAGATAAAAGCCCTGGGGTCAAAATTGGCCCTGCCCCGGGGGTCATTGATTTTCCTTATATGTGTATAGCAAAAACTTAAAAATCTTCTTTGAAAAAACCCAAATAGCTAGAGTTTAGATATTAAGCATGAAACATGTTCTAGTAAGTGTCTACAAAGTTTGTTCAAATAAAAGCCCTGGGGTCAAAACTGGCCCCGCCCCAGGGGTGTCATTGTTTTTAACTATATGTGTATAGTAAAAACTTAAAAATCTTCTTTTAAAAAACCCAATGAGCTACAGCTTAGATGTTTAGCATGAAACATCTTCTTATGGGTGTCTACCAAGTTTGTTCAAATAAAAGCCCTTGGGTTAAAATTGGCCCTGCCGGGGGTGGGGGAGGGGGCAGATCATTGTTTTTCATTATATGTGTGTAGTAAAAACTTAACATCATGAAACATCTTCTTATGGGTGTCTTCCAAGTTTGTTCAAATAAAAGTCATGGGGTTTAAACTGGCTCCGCTCCGGGGGCCTATATACAGGTGAGCGACCTCAGGGCCATGATGGCCCTCTTGTCTATGTAGATTTACCAGTAGTTTAGTTTCCTTTTACATGCTATGCCTTATTTTGTATATAAACATTTGTTGTTTTAGTCAGTCTTATGAAAGCAAGTGCAAGAAATTGTAAGTACACAAAAAGCTCACTGACAAAACTGTAATTACTGTAATTTGTTATGAATCGCACACTGCTTGCTTGATGGAAAATTGTTAATGCATTTGTTATAAACATGTGATAAACGTGGCTTGCTTTTGGCACATGTTTGTGATAGACATGTATTAACTTTAGCAAAACTTGTTGTCATGCATAATGTGATAAACATAACATTGAATGCAACAATGTTTGTGATAAACATGGTTTGCCTTGAACATGTCCTACTCTCATACTTGTAATATAACACCATTTGTTATGACAGGGAGGGTTGGTGATAAACATGTCTTAACTTAAGTATTGTCATTACTGTTAAGTGATAAACATTACTTCTGTTAACACAACGTTGCCTTTAAATATGTTTAGCCTTCACCAATGATTGCTGCCATGCATATAAGATAAACATCACATTCTATTAACCAGAGTTTTTTGATAAACATGGACTTTAATCATGTATATTATGATTTACAAGAATTACTATCACGCAGGGTTTGCGGTTGGAATATCTTGCCTTTTCTCATGCCATAAAGTTTAAATTGTGATAAACGTCACATATGATGACATCATTTGTTGCTGTGCCTGTCACAATGATGAAAAGTTATTGTACAGAGTTTTGATAAACATGTTTGCCATGATTCTGGTTGTCATATATTATTATGTGATAAACATTATATCTTATGACACAAAGTTTGGATAAACATGTATTGCTATTAATATGGATTGCTTTACGTGATAAACAAGGCTTTATTTTATGACACACTGTGATGATTATGTCTTGCTTTTTTGTTGTCTTGCATTATGTGATAAACTTTGACAGAATTTATGATAAACATGGTTCACAAAATCTCACACTGTAACAATGACTTACTGTGACATATAGCTTATAGACTGTGTTATGTATTGTTGACAGTATATAGTGAATTTTGTAGTTTTACACATGACATACACAGTATTACTATTTTGGTTAAGTACACCTTGTTGTCACAGTGATTTATTGTAAAATTTCATATTGTTGTGTCAGTAATTGGCGTCCGCGCCGAAGCGCGGCGCTCTTATGGAATGAGATCAGATTTTGTGAAAGGGCGACAGCAACTTCTCGAGCCTTTTAGTCGGTCATAATAAAAGCCGAAAATTCCGATCGGTATGAGGGTGCTTGATTATTAAATAAGAATGAAATATCGCGATATGTTACAATGAATTTTCGCAATGCAAACATTTACAAATGAAATAACCTTTTCCGTCAATAAATCGCGCTCTTCGGGGTTTTTTATTTATCATTTTGTAGTACACAGTCGGTTATCATGTCATGGTATGTTATTGTTGTACATGTATCCTAGAATGATCAGTTTGATGACCTAAATATTCCAAAAAACCTATTTATAGATATATCTTTTTATCACTCCTATCGGTAAATGCCGGTCTCTCCCGGTCTATTTTGACCAGGATTTACTAGTGACCGGCGAATAGTACCACACGTTTATTGTCCGGTCTCTCCCGGTTTTGGAGTAGATGTTTGATATCGTTACAATTAGAAAAAAACAACAATAGCATGTTTCATTTTATCTATGTGAGATAAAAACAATAAATATGTACACGGATTTATATGTAATATAAATCCCTGATATGTACAATAATTGAGAAAAAGGTACATTTTTTATGGTATTAAAATGACATTATCAACTTTGAAACATTTTATTTAATTATTCAATTTGTTATCCGTGTTTAGTAAAGATGCCGAGGAATTATTCAAAGTTACAAATTAGATTTTATGAATTATTCAATTGATTGATAATTTAAAAAATGATAAAGAAAAATACAATGTACATGTACATGGTTTAAGAATAAACAATATTATATATTGAAAGATAAACCATAATTTACTGACTTTCCAGTTAAGCTTTGACTTATAATCGTCGGTCAATATGACAATTGAATTCTTAAAATTTATTTTACAATTTTAATAAAAAAGAGTAGTAAAAACTCAGTATTAAAATAGCACATAAAACACAAAAAAGAATAAAAGAAAACAATATTCATAAAATTTGTATTTTTTTAATTAAAATTAATAGATATTACAATTATTGTATAATAAACAATTATGCTCAACATGATCAACATTATAATATAACCAGTGTCATATTTTTACTAACTTAAAGTGTGAACAGATACCTTAAGGGGGTCTTCGCTTATAGCGATAACATGTACATAATAAGGGACAAATGTGTGGTACGTGTTGATCATGCGTTACACATATGGATTATAAATGATTGCATACATGTATATCCGTTGCTATTAATAACCACGATCATAAAGAAATAACAAGTAATATTCTAATCTCTAGCATGCCAATCAAAGTTTATAATGAACAATGTCTTTCGTCCGCTCATTCATAAGTGGTATACATTTCTGGTAGTTTATAAGAATATCTTGTCATCATATGTGTACTAGTTCATCTTCACTTGCTGCATTTCTTGCTTGGATGCCCTTTGATGCTTTGCATCAATGCTTTTCTTGTTTATGATTAAGATAATGATGTTAAATAAGTATAATAAAACATGAGCGACTGCTCTGCTTTCATTAGAGCGTTTGCTTAATTTTGAGAAGAAATATGCAAAACCAGTCGTTGCCACGATCATCTGCGCAGATGCAATAATCACTTCCGGTCGGTAAGAATTTAGAAGAAAGATTGAAATTCGTTCGATTTTCCTAATTGAATTTGAAGTTAATTGTTTAATTCCTGGTAGATCAACATTTGTTTTTGAAAAGTAAATTCTGAAAGGTAATTTGAAGAAGCAGTTATTCTCTCGAATTAAATATCCCAACTCGTATACATTAAAAATAAGATGGGTGGGGTACGAGAACTTGTCATTTTTATGTGCATATACTATAGTTATGCCTAATTACTTTTTCCAGTTTGTCGGTTGTATTTAAAGTTTTATGAACTGCTATTTTTAGAGGGTCATAAGTAAAGTTATCAGACGGACAAAGCATCTTAATACTGGCAGTCAACTAAGGAATAAAATTTCTTAAAATCTTAGTGAAAAACAAAAAGAACATGCATTTGAACATTTAACTGTGTGTTACTGTTAAAAATTGAATGTTCTTTTTGTGACTTACACACTGTTAAATGCATGTCCTTTTTGTTTGTGTTTTTTTTTTCTTTGAAAAATAAGGTAAGGTCACAACATCATAAGCAGAGATCTGCCAAGGACACGATTTTGCGCCATTAGCGCTAAAAAAATGAGAATGGCGCAGGAAAATCGGCAGCAAAAGGCCATGGGCGCATCTAAAATCTTAGCCAGACTTATAAGAAAACAAAACTGTCTGCTGGGTTATTTAGTCATCCAGTCAAAACTGGTACCAACAGCAACATGTTACCCATTCCCCTGTAATTACGCATATTCTTGAGTTTATGATTATCCATTCCTCTATAGCTTTTGTCCATGTTATCTACTTGCCGCATTTCTTCTCATAGTCCTTTTCCCACACAGATACTCATTTTTACTACCGTAAATTTAATCCAATAAAACAAACAAACAAATTATACAACTACCTAATAATTAAAATGATTATCAGTAACTGAAAAAAAAAAGTGTTGCTATTTTAAGAAATGCTGTAAGTTACAGTATAATCAGACAGGTGTACAACTGGATCACCCCTAAGGTCACTTAAGTTCACACAAGCTTTGGTTGTGAAGTGTAAAAAAAAGATGTTAATTTCGTCATCAGAATATTTGACAGGGAAACATTGTGCATGACTTTTTTCATGTCGGCAAGTGTCTTTGATGTATGCTGTCTACACAGAGGCATACAAGGGGCAATAACAGTGTTGCATCTAGAATTTCAAAATTATGGGGGATTGTCCCCCACTTAATTGAAAAATGTGGGGGATTTGATAAAAATTTGGGGACATACATTTACCTTACAATATGACATACCGAATAGAATTCATTTATTTTACATTCAGGCATTTTTGACATTAAAATGCGCGATCTGCATAAAAAATGCGCAAATAGCACAATCGCGCGGCCTAGATGCAACACTGCAATAAAATTTGTCAATATACAGTGGCAAAGGGACATTTGGTGCAAAGTAGGAACAATTAAATGGATAATGCACAGTATTAAAAATGGCCCATCATTTTCAGATCAAGTGGGCCCAGGGCCCAGTACTTTAAAATTCTTGGCAGATCTCTGCATAAGGCCCAATCATCGTTTGTATAATTTACGTGGCACGATAGCTCCATTGGTTAGACCACTGACTACTGTCACTCCCGACATCCTGGGTTCGATCCTAGGTAACATCCTTGGGCCTTTTCAGAGACACTATTAGCGTTTCCCACCAACCTAAAGTTGTACTGGTAAGAAAATTAAAGAAATCTAGGTAATCCTCGCATGTATCAGTGCTATGCACTGGGCATGTAAAAGAACTAAGGGTTCTATTCAGTAAGAGGTAGGGAATGGTTTCTTGATTCCCTTGTATCTCATAGCTTTCTCTCAATCCAATTTATACAATGTATATCTGCTTAGTGTAATTGTAAACGATAATGAAGCAGTATTATGTAGATCAGGGCCTTTTAACCCTTCTTTGCTGCAGCCGGTATCCGGCTTTTAACTTCCCCAAGCTGAATTACTACCTTTTTTTTCCCAAAAACTAGTTAAAAATTCCCCTCCTTGCAAAGATTACCTATTTCGGGACAGACTTCCTGAAATACGTTGGTCAGACGGACATGTCCGATAAGTTTTTATTAGGTCCGACGATATTTTATTCCGGATCTGTCCGACTGTCTAGCTTTTATCCAAGTAGCATGTATACAAAATGGCCTCGCTAAAGGTGCCAAACGTGGGAAAAATGAAAATCTACGTCACAGGAGCGCCAAACAGCAGTGAAAGGATGAAAAGAATAGACCTGAAAAAAATTTAATGAAAAATGGAAGCAGGATTGGAATCGTTGGTGTATGACAGGGAGGAGATGAA